TTACCTCATGGCCTCCGGAGGAAAAGCAGATAGTCTTTCTTTCCTTCTTGCTAACAAGTATCTCCCCGACAGGCTGCCAACCCCTGGTCCCTGCTTACAGCTGGTGGAGATGGCCAAATAGTACGTAATAAAATGAGCTTTTGCTCTGAGTTTCAGGCCATGGTAAGGTTCCAGTGAAGTCAGCATTAGGCCTCTAGGGAGTCAGACATTGTGAATGTCCCCAGGAAGGTCCTGGGAGCAAGCCACTTTCCTTCTCAGTACAGTTTGTATCTACCAGCATTGGTTTGCACAAATACCATAAGTATTTCCCTTAGCTGTGTCCTGACATTCTTCAGGTATTCTTTGTGATTGAAAAATATTTGCTTTCCTAGCAAATGTTTGCAAAATGGAAATATTTGCTTCCCAAATAGCATTGAGACTTTGCTTAGGCACCATAAGCACCAAGCCCATAATTGTAAATAATCCCATTTAGGGCTGAGTATCAGCCCATAGATTAACCATACATTATTTGGACTAATCTAATTTTGTACTTAAAATTCCCACTGAATTGTTCAGATGAAATAGCCTGGCAGCCATTCATACATGAAATTTGCTCAAAATAATATATTGCTATTTCTCCCTCCAACATTTTCCTTCTGTCCCCTTGCAAAAAGTTCTAGCATCTGCATAACTGATAGCCTGATCTTGAAGCCCAGTGACTTTGCAAAGAAGTTCCGGCTGTGGGAGTGGGGGTCTAAGTCAGCATTTTGGGTGAAAGTGATGGCAATTCTGTGGATGTAGAGCTACCAGAACTCACTCCCTCAGTGGCTCTCATCATGTCAATAATCCACCTTAGGGCACATCCCTGGTGCTTTCTGCAGAGTACAGCAGTAGAAAGTGCTATTCTGGAAACAGGGAGATCTTATTCCATCACCACACAAACCAACCTCTTTGGGCCTCAATTGCTCCATCTGTAAATGGGGAAAATGCCATTCTTTGTCCGAAAGCACCAAAAGCTCACAGAGCTTTTGATGACTAGAGTCTTTCATTTCTCAACCCATTCAAAAGGGTGAATTTCAATGAAAACCCAAAGTGAATCTTTCTTTTGGAAACAAGAGGCTTTCCTAACACACAGATCACTTTGCATTCTCTGCTGCCCCTCCTGGTGTTGGAATTAGGAGGGTACTTCAAAAAGTTCATGGAAAGATTCATATTATCTTTTAATTCCATTTTTCCAGGAACTTATTGAAGAACCCTCTATAAGAGGCAAAGAAGCCCAGTCTTCTGCCTAAGGTAAACAGAGGAAGATGTCATGAAAGCTAGGAGTTAGATTCTTTCAAGAATAGCTAGGCCTCAATCCAGTTCCTCCCCCACCATCCCAAGGTGTTCACACAGACAAATGATAGTCTGTGCTCAGCACCTCTGGGACAGCCTGTCAGGCGAAGTCCTCTCCCTAGAGAGAAACAGTTCCGCAGTGATATCAGAACACATTCCAACAGCACGTGTTTATCTCTAAGGTCAGCCTTTCCTGTTGATGCTCAGGAGGCATGGGGAAAGGGGGAAGGGGATTGGAATGATGGTTGTTGGCAACCACAAGGGGCTAGGAATGACGGCAGTGGGGACATGGACCCTGCCTTTGCAAGAGTGTTGAGGTTTCCAGACTCTTTGTGCCCATGTATATCTTTCCTCACATCAGGTGAACTCCCCAGCTCTTCTGTTGCCAGTGGAGATGAGAAGTTGGATGCAACCTCACCCAGGGGTGCATCTTCCAGAACTCGCTAGGACTTGGTGGGTGGGGACCTCTGGGTGGGGGCCATAGGATCTGGATCCAAGAGAATAGCAGTGTTTCCATTGTTTAGTTTAGGATCTGAGCTCTGTTGCGACACAACTGAGCCACTCCCTTTGAGCTCATCCATAGGTGCCAGGACATTCAGGCTCTGGCAGTGGGACAAAGGGGGCCATCCTCCCTGACTAGGCTGGGCAAGCAAATCCCAAGAGTGTGACATTGTTGGACACAGTTCCAGGAGCTGCACCCTCTCTCTCAGGAAAAGTGCCTACCATACACTTATCCCCACCAGCTGGGGGAAAATGCTTGAATGCCTTCTCACGGTCCCACCCCGGCTCTGGACAGCTCTGAGAAAGTATGTTCACAACCATCTCAAGTCCTTTGATTTCTTTATTATTTATTTTCAAGTAAGATAATCTCATCCTCCCTCCAGGCTGAGTTTCAGGGGGTGGGAGAGAGGAGGCTAAGCCATCTGATTCCTCTTTAGCAGAGATGAATCATGTCCCCCACCCCCCATGCTCAGCCCAGGGATATTTACTCATGTTTATATAACCATGGCAACAGTCTTTATTCTCTATCACCTAAACTCTTTTTTTTTTTAAAAAAAAAAAAAAAAAAAAAAAGGAAAGAAAAAAAACGTAAGGCAGCTCTGTTTCCTACTCTTGCCTCCTGCTCTGCCCAGATGAGAGCAGCCTCTTCAGAAACAAGGTGAGAGAGAGAGACCCTCCCCACACACACACACCCCTGGGGAAACATTGGCCTTCCCAGGGGCAAGGGAACAGGTAAGTTGTAATGCCCAGCATATGAAAGGACATCAGCGTTGGACAGTAATTATTCTCTGAAGTCCTGTGGAATCACCCAGTAATAACCTCTCTGACTTGTCCGAGAACTCTCTTTTGAGCTCACTACTGAGATTATGGTTATTTATTTTTTTTCTTCCCATCTCCTCTATCTTAAAAGTTGATGGAATGTAAGCTGGCTTTGCTAACAATATAGCCTTCGTCTGTAAGATGGGGTAAACATTCCCCTTGTTCTGACTATTTCACAGATCTTTGCAAGTAGAGCTTTGTAAGGAATAGAAAGTGTTACACTCACATAGGCTTTAACTATAAGTAAGGGAAACTGAGACCCAGTAAAAGGAAAATATTTGCACAAGGTAGTATTGTGTTGTCAACAGTATAGAAGACATAACCACCCAGTCCTGGTTTCTTGCCACGAGATCAGCCTGCTTCTCCTGGAGTTTTAATGACAGCCAGCCTCCTAACTTCCAAGAGGATTCCAGCCTGCGAGGCCTCAGGAATGGAGAAAACCAGGACTTAAATTTGGCTCTAAAGACTGTTTCTACCACAGATCCACAAACGGTTACTCAGTTTCTTACAGCCGGCCACTGTATTGGAGGCTGGAGATCTAACAGCGAGCAAAGGAAGGCCCTACAGGTTGTAAAACTCTTTTGTGGTGTTTGTCTCCATGTAAGGGTCCCTCCCCGGACTACATGTCAACGGCCAGGTCCTCTTTTCTATCCCATTCAGCTGGTCTGGAAACTGCAGCTCTGTCCTTGGGGGCGGCACCCACTCTGAATACCCTGGGTCCCAAGTCAAGGGGTCGCTGGGAGAATTTCTGCTCACAGATTCAAGGAAGCCAGAGGGCCAACGCTGCTGAGACAGGCTGGCCGGGAGAGCAAAGGGAAATTAATTTCAGGCTCTCCTAGCGGGAATTGGAAATACCTGAGCAGATTCGCAGCTCCATCCCGCGGCCGTTGAGTTTTCTGAGAAAGGCAGAGTCAGGCGCCTGGGCTCGGCGGCGAGCGGCCATCGAGACTCAGACCTCGGATCGGGTTCTGCGCCACCACCTGCGCCCCAGCCTCGCCGTTCAGCTGGACTCTGCAGTCTTCGCTTCTAAGGATTCATTCATTCTCATTTTCTCTCTGTCTGTCTGTCTGTCTCACACACACACACACACACACACACACACACACACACACACACACACACCCTCTTTCAGTGGTTAGCAGAAGTGGCGCTCTTGGCTGACACGGATCGGAATGAGGAATGACAGCAGCACCTGCGTTCTCCCTTCGCGCCTTCTCTCGCGTCCTTACGGTTCTGTCCCACGCAGAGACCCCGAATGCTGCCTGGGGCAGACTTTTCCTCGTTAATTACCTTGAACAACACTTCGCTAATTGCCCTCATTACTCTCGGGCTCTGCGACACCGCCCCCGGCGGGCCTGTCCTGGTGGCGCGGCGCCTCCCCGGGGGCAGAGGCGGGTGTGGCCGGTCCAACTCCGTCCCCCAGGGCCGGCCGGAGCTCGCACGCGGCAGGTCCCCGGGCCGTGCCTGTTGAACAGCGTCGGAGCCTCTTGCAGTCCTCCCTTCCCCAACCTTACAGAACGCTTCGGCAAAGGCCAGAGCGTCGGCTAGGGGTCCTGGGAGGGCAAAGGCTTCTCCTCCACTCCCTGCTCTCTCTACTGACAGCAGCCACATCCCATTGCCCCGTTTTATGTTTTCATAAACAATCGCCATCTGAAATGACCCTGTTTATTATTCTCCCCGCCCCATCCCATCCCCGCCGTGAGTTCTGGAGACCTTGCCTGTCCCGCTCGGCGTCCACAGACCTACAGCCTCTCCGGGAGCACAGCAGACCCTCCATAGCTTTGCTCTGCCAGTGAGTGAGCTGGAGGGACGCTACACCAGGAGACGAGGTGCCCTCTTCGGAAAGAAAAGGGATTCCGAGAGACTTCGGGGAGGGGGTTCTTTCCCTGTTCGGAGTTCGGGAAAGGGCACTGACCTGATGGCAGTGCGCCTCCTTCCCCGTGCGTTAAACTGTGCTTTCCCTTTAGGACCGAAGGGGGAGGTGTCACGTGACTGGCGTCACGATGACCCCGCCGCGCTGTCCAGGACCAGGTATCCCGCTACCAGCCCCCCAACGGTGGCAGCCCTGTCCCTGAGCAAACACCCGCCGCGGGTCCACCCGCGGCCGCCCAACCCGCGCCCTCCGTATCGCTCTTCTCATTGGCTGAAGGCATCCCCCCTGAATTCTCATTGGCTGTTCCACTTTTCTCTCCGCCCCCAGCACCTACCACGAGCCGAGAGCAGCCTGGGAAGCTGCTCTAAGTCCTGGGCTCGGAGCAGAGGCTGCGAGAGGCGCCGAGCGCAGGGGCCGCCGTTGTCGGTGCGGTCGGTGTTCCCACCCGGGGTCTCTCGTGGAGCCGAGCCCGGCAAATGCGCGCAAGAGGAAGGAGAGCAGAGAAATGGACTGCTATTTGCGTCGCCTCAAACAGGAGCTGGTAAGTAAGAGCCTAGCTGGCGCCAGGGGCGGAGGGGCTGCTCTGTCCCGACGGGTACCTGGCCCCCGCCCCGGCCCCCAGGATCCAGGGCGTGCGCGGGGCGGAGGAAGGCCAGCAAGGAGAGGAGAGGACGCAGGCCACCGGCAGAGAGGACAGGGCCTGTCCCCAGGGAAAGGGGCCACGAGGAAACTTCGAGCAAAGATTGGTGGTGAGACAAGAACAAGTGACAGAGCAAGCCAACAAGGCTGAAATGTGACACAGGGAACCCGAGGGAGAAAAGAGGGCACACCAGACAGAGACGGTCACGCTGACGGAGGGAGACTCCGCCGCCGACGCCAAAAGTGCGGTAGTGACCTGCCCAGGGAGCGGGACGCCCCTGCCCCGGTGCTGGGGCAGCGCGGCGCGTCCGGGGCGCGTGCAGACGGGGCGCCGGGAGGAGGGTGCGCGGACCGGATCCCGGCCCCGGGCGGGAGGTCATCTGGGGCCGCTCACTGGAGGGGAGCTGGTACTGCCCTGGACCCCCAGCTCTGCCGGTCTTGGCAGAGCTGGCGCGGCTGCGAGGGCAGGCTTGGCCGGCTGTCTGCCCGGGCTTGTCTGCCAGCAGGAAGGGGGCTGGCAGCTGTAAAGACGGGGGAGGGCCCTGCGCGGGAGGAGGGCCGCCGGCTGGCAGATCGCGAGCGGGAGCTGCGGAGGCCCAGCCAGATGCCAGGTCTGGGCTTGGGGAGTGCGCAGGAAGCGTGCGCAGGCCTCGGAGTGCAGGGGCTGGGAAAAGTAGATCAGTCTGGGGGACAAACATCAGAGAAGTGGGAGGAGTGATGCCTGCTAAAGCTCTGTTAGGAAGGGCCAGGTTGATTCTCACTGACTTAGTACACCATCCGCCAACTCACCCCCAACTTCCACCTTTCTTATTCCTTCAACCACCAGAATTCAGACAATTATTATAAACATGCACCCACTTCCCTGCTCTGCCTGTCTCTCCTTCAACCAGACTCTCTCGTGTCTTTGCCACCATCTCTGTTTGTCTCTTGGAGTCGACTCTTCTCAGTCTCACTTTGCTCCCCTCTTTCTTCTTACTTTTCAGAGCCAGGGTCATCCAGGCACACAACAGCAGACCTGGACCCAGAAACTGCCAGCTCATGGCTCTCCAGATTTCATGACAATTTCATGACAGCCTTTCCCACACCTGCCTGCGAAGGCCACACTCTTCTTGCTTGGGAGGGAACTTGGCACTGTTAGGGACCAGCTTTGGGGGAGGAGGAAAGCGGAGCTTGAAGTGGCAGGTGTTCTCATTGCTGCTTCCTGACCAAGTCGCCCTAGCACTCTCCCTGTCTGTCCTACTCCAGAGCCTACCTTCTCATGTCAATGGTTAGTCCTTTATCCTTTCTCGGGAAGCCCTTTCTGTGATGATACCGAGATATGAAAGTTACTGACCCAGAGAAGTACTTATTTGGAGAGTGACAGAAGTGTCCATTATGGCTCTTCTGAACTTATACCATGCCCCCTCCCATCTAGCTTTCACGTGCTTCTCATGCCAGTTTGGGGTGGCTGGCCCTAGTCCACACATACGCAATTCTTATTTTCTCCATTCATGTGTCCAGTACCGGAAAGAAAGGTCAAGACCATCACAGATAATATCTGAGGTCCAAGGCCCATGCTGAGAAAAGAATCCTCCCCTTTGTGCTCAGAATCAGGGACCATACCACCCACCTCAGGATCTGCCATAATGGAGGGTTTGTGGGTGTTCCTGGCATGGGTTTGAATTTTAAAATCCTACTGATTTGCATTTTTTACAGCACCCTAGGTGGGAGGTGGTGAGGGGAGGAAGACAGAGTCTGTGGATGCCAGGAGAATAAAAATGGCAAATAGGAATCTGCACTGAGTTGAGCTCCAAATCCTGATTTGCACCCTCTCCTGCCAAGGACTTGAGCCCCCAGTGCCTGGGAGGAGGAAGCGGAGAGGCTGAAGTCACTGAGCTCCCCATTAGCTACCATTTGGCCCTTTGTCTGAGCAGCTTCAGCCTTTGACTCTCTTGGAGAGGAAGCCAAATGCCTGGCCTGGGGCCCAGAATGACACTCAGATGGGAGAGCTCTGTACCACTCCCCATGGTGCTCCACTCCCTCCCCAGTGCCAGCATGCTCAGAGATGAGACTGAGCAGAGAGTCAGAGCTATTGGAGTTTCACTCACTCCCTAACACCTCGGATCAATGCTTAAGTAGCTGGGCCAAATCTCAGTGCCTCAGTATTTCCAGTGGGAGAATAGAGGAAAGTAGAGTTGAGTTAGCCCAGGATCAGCCCCTTGGCTGCCTTCCTCTAAGGACTGTAGGGATTGGATTCAATGTAGGTTGGTTATGGCTGGGTTAGGGAAGAATTGGCTTGTTTATACCCCAGGTCTGCAAGGGAGTGGGAAAGGCATACTGTTGGTTTATGTCATGAGCTGGGGGTCTTTTGCAATGCAGATGCTTTATTCCAGGCAGGCTCTCTCTGCCACCCAGCTGGACTGTGTGTTGTCTGGCTCTCCCTTAAGTTGGCATGTGCCCAGGAATGGCCTCAAGTAATACTGGTCAAGTTCTACATTCATTCCCTTCAAAAAGCATATGTCCTGCAGACACTGTGGGATAAACCTGCTGGAAAAGGAAACATTAACAGGTTGTGAAATTATCTTTGTTGAAGCAGTTTTTTGCTTCCCTCCTGCATCCTGGCCCTATCCTTGGCCCAGAAAATCTAGACAAGAAGAGTCTGTTCCTGAAAACCAAAACAGCAGAATTTCCCAATTTCCTGAAGCAGAAAATCTGCATTGTAACAAGTGAGCACTGCAGGGAGGCTGAGGGTTTGGGGATCCTAACTCAATTAGGTTGATGTCTAGGAGCTGCCGCTTTCCTCCTGCCTGAAAGGGGATCTGGTTTCAAGGATGAAATGTGGCAGGAGAGGTAGCAGCAGCTGACACACTTTTTCGTTAGGATGAGGGGGTCAGGGCTGCAACAGCTCAGCAGGGAACACATCTCTTTTCCCCTCCAGCTGCCAAAGGGGGGCTCTGCCAGAACATAAGGCCTTGGGACCAGCTGTTCCTCACACAGGGCTCCCTTGTGGCTTCCAACAAATGGGGTAGACACAGGCACACAGAGGAGGCAGATGTAGGATGCTCACGGGGCATTCCTCATGAGTTAAGATCAGTGTAGAACAAATAGGTTGCATAAAGGCTGAGCAATCAGGGCTCATGAAATATAGCCAGTCTGGGAAGACTTCCTGGGGCGGTCAGGGAGATGGGGGGTTGGAGAAGGACATCTCCTGAAATGTCCATCCTAGCTAAGGCATGGAGAAGCAGCAGAGGGACTTCTCTCAGGCTGGGGAAGGTCCACATAGGACAACCTTGTATTCCCAGAAGACAATTCTCTAGCTTCTAGTGGCTTCAATTCATGAGGTTCTGGCATATGGGTAAGGACCAGGGCCTAAAGGCAAAATAAGGAGGAGAAAAGGGGATGGAGGAGATACAGCAGGAACAGCCTTCAGTTCTTGGGGCAAAAGGGCAAATTTCCTGAGGCAGAAATAAGCTTTTGCAAAGAATCTCATAGTCCAGTCTCCCTTGATGTTTAATGATAGGGGGAAGAAGGCTTTGGGACTAGTTAGCGTCATCAGTGGGACGAGTGTAGAGCATAGGATTTGGGGTCGGAACAACTTGAATTCAAATCCTGGCTCTGTGTGACTCTAGCATATTACCTAACCTCTCTGTGCTTTGATTTTCTCATATCTAAAATGGGATTTAAAAAATACCTACTTTATACAGCTACTGGTAGGATTAAATGACAATGTAAGTCAAGTGCCTCCCCAGCTGCATGTCCTTAGCACATAATAGTACCTGATGTGTTGTAGGCACACATACTTGGTAAACTCTTGAAGATGGCTTGATCAGACTGGTTTGCATAAAAGTCATTCATTCACAGAACATGTTTATTGAGTTCATAGTATGTTTAAGGCATTTACCAGGCATTAGCATTATAGTTACAAATATAAACAGACACAGATCCTGTCTTCAGGGAACTCACAGTTTAATTGAAGAGGTAATAATAACATATATTAGTATTAACACTGATGTGCCAGAAACATAATGTATTATGTTGCTTAATTGCCAAAGTAATGCTAAGAAGTTGTACTTTCATTATTCCCATTTTAAAAATGAGAAAGTGGAGACATGGGTAATTTAAGTGACTTGGCCAAGGACACATGTAAAGTACGGCAAATCATAACTAAAGCCAAAATGTTTCATTATTTTAGTTATACTTAGTTTCCATTTATATTGTCAGAACTGGGGCTCAGACCCTTCAAACCCATTGTACAGACTAGGTCACCAGACCCCTCACACACAGGTCCATGCTAGGTAATTGGGAAAGATTCCGGGAGCTGTTGGCAGACAACATGAGCTCAGTCCTCAGCTTCCTCAGCAGCAGCAGCTTATAGGCCCAGTGGTGGCAGTGGCCTTGCAGAGGGTCCCGAGGACACTAGCAGTAGTGGCCTCCCGGGGGTGGGAGGTGCCGTGGATCAGAGCCACTCATCCTTTATACTTAAGTCATAACCCAGGACACCTGGGTGCACATGCGCAGTTACAGCAGACAATAACCAAGGAACACCTGAGTGCACGTGCCTATTTACATCAAATGCTCGGCAAGACTCTGAACATCTGAGGGGCCCTGACCATTTTGCTGTATTTTCCCAACAACACAGATCTGATAAGTGGCAAAGCTAGGATTCAAATCCAGCCAGCCTGACTGCAGATCTTATGCTTCTAACCAATACACATATGCAAATCTCTCATACAGAAACAGAAGATATGTGCTATATAAGAGGCACAGGTTCAGTTCTTGGAGAAGGGAGAAATAACCTCCAACTGGGAGATCAGGGAAAGCTTTGTGTCATCTAAGAGGTAGCACTTGACCTTGACCTTGAGGGATAAATAGGGATGTGCAGGGAGAAAAACAGCATTCCGGGCAGGTGGTAAAACAACATGA